CGTGTATCCTAACAATCAGATGTACTTTTTGGAACGAACAGTAAAGCAAAAACTAGAGGTGCCACTAGTAGGCTCCTACTTCATCGAGGTGTGCGCAGCCAATGACAGCCGTGTGCCACTTCCCTACAACACCATATCGCCGTCTGGCGCTAAAATTATATTTATCAAACAATTGGGGTGAAAAATACTACCACATATGAATTTATAGACTTTTAGACACGGTCAAAATTATTTTTAGACAGTTTTCAGAACCTCTGCGCCCCTACCGACGGTAGAAATGAAACATTTTCGGAAGGGCGTACGACCATCCTCAAAAATCATTTTCTACAGCAATTTTATTAAGTCAACCATACATGAACATGATTTTTAGGATAGTTGACCGACCCTAGAAAATATATTTTTAAAAAATATAAAGATTATTAAACCATGCCAAAGAATATAAAAAAATTGCTTGCTCAAAGGCTATTGTAGGGTCACAATTCACGGAGCCTCAATCTTCCATTTTTTTCTCAAATAAGTGTGTTCATGGACTGACCTCTGGTCTCGCATGAGCCCCGCCTACCACCACTCCACACACTGGTCATTTGTCATCAAGTATACAGCCTGTTCATTAGATCGTATCTGATTTATAAACCATGACTTATCAGTCAATGAATAGTATTTTTCTCTCACACTAAATCAGCCCACAGTACTTTCAGCTATGACTTATAAGTCAAACCAGCCCAAACGAACAAGGCTATAGTATGTTATACTTTATTTTAACTAATATGAATCATGTATTAATATTTAGGCCTCTAATAAATCATAAATAAAAAAATGAATCATAAAGTTTTAGATTTCATTTAGCACTGCAACTTAGGCATAGGGCATTTCTATGGAGGCATGGTCAGAAAGAGACCGAATAGGAGAGAGAACAAGCGAGGAGGTTCATTGCAATTTACATGCTTTGTTGGCTGCTAATTGTACATGCCACGTCGGATCTAAGGGGAAAGAAGGGGTATGGACATCAGCTAAGAGCAGCTCTAGCGTTGGGTGCTAGCAGGAGAGAGAAAGAAGGAAAACAGGTGCAACACATTGGAGGCCTGGTGCTATACTAACACCGGTGCAATGAATAAAAAAAGAAAAAGTGCAGGGATGTGTGAGAGTGAGTCTGCATGGAGGAGTAACTGAGGTGGAGAAGTTCTGGTCACGCTTTCTTTATTTGTTGTGGGTCCGCCCAGTAGGTACTAACAGGCTCTTGACTTTTTGGCTAACCAAGCACCTGTTGAGGTGTCAATCCTTGCACCTTGCTATAGGAATATAGATTAAAGTTGTTTTAAACCGTTTAAAAAGTTTAGAGATCAAAAAATATATTTTTAGAGTTGAGGGACTTTAAAAGGTCCTAATATGGCTAGAGGGGGGTGAATAGCCTATTTAAAAATCTATAAATCAACTAGAGCAATTTGATTAGTATGACAAATAGCGTAATGCAAACTTGCTCTAGCTCTACAAGAGTTGCAAAACCTATCCAACAATTCTAGTTGCAATGATCTATTTGCAATTTAGACCACTACTCACTAAGAGCTCTCACAAAGCTACACTAAAGAGCTCCACTAGATATGTTTAAAGCACAGGAAGCTCTCAATTCTAATTACACTAAAGACCTTGCTATATCTAGTTTACATATAAATGAGTAAGTGAAACGATTATATGATTGGAGTAGGAATTGCTATATAGCCAATCACCGGGAGAATGCAAATGACAAGAAACCGATTTTTCTCCCGAGGTTCAGTTTGCCAAACACGCTAGTCCCGGTGTCGACATGTTGGTGGTTCACTCACAAACCTCGTCCACTTGGACACCGAAGAACTACCCACAAGTGAGGTAACTCAATGACACGAGCAATTTACTAAAGTTACTTTAAGAAGGTACAACTCCCCACAATCACCGAAACCATTCAATCACCAACTCGTGCAATCCTTCACCGCTGTAACCGCAAGGTGGTGGCAACCACCAAACAAACAAGCGAAATGAGCATTTACAATGCCAAGTGCCACTAGATGCAATCACTCACAAAGCAAGATCTCACAATGATGATGATGGATCAATGATAGAGATGTGGGAGGGCTTTGGCTAAGCTCATAAGGTTGCTATGTCAATGAAAATGTGCAAGTGAGCTCCCTTGACCATGGGGCTGAAGGAGAGCCCCCATCAAATGCTAGAAAAACAGACCGGACGCTCTTATCGGTGACGCTAGTATTGTTCGTCGATTTCAATAACAAATCAAAAAAGCGACCGGACGCCTGGCTTCCCAGCCGTCCGGTCGTTTCGAAGTTCAGCTTTTCTTCGAGTCCGTCCACCTTTGAATCAGCCGTGCTTGCGGTGCTCTCCTCGACGTGGCTTTGATCACTGCCTGCTTCAGATCAGCATCATTTCAACTCCATTTCAACTCTAACTTTCACCCTTGCTCAAATGTGCAACCACCAGGTCCGCTTAGAAAATAGACATTTCATTTTTCCAAAAGCGCCTTTAATATTTTCTAAAACCCATCTCAACCCTACAAACACCTTGTGCACATGTGTTAGCATATTTTCACAAATATTTTCAAGGTGTTAGCACTCCACTAGATCCTAAATGCATATGCAATGAGTTAGAGCTCTAGTGGCACTTTGATAACCGCATTTCGATGCACCTCTTAATGGTGGCTATCTATCCTAAATGTGATCACACTCACTAAGGTCTTGATCACTAAAACAAAATGCTCCTACATTTTATACCTTTGCCTTGAACCTTTGTTTTCGACTTCTTTTCCATTCAAGCATTTGATCATCACCATGCTATCACCATTGTCATGATCTTCGCCATTGCTTCATTACTTGCGCTCATAATCATCTTGATAAACTAGGTTAGCACTTAGGGTTTCATCAATTAACCAAAAACAAACTAGAGCTTTCAGACCTAGATGGCATCCACTTAAAAATTAATGGACCTACGGTGTATTTTGCTCTTAAAACATAAAGGGCCTAATTTAGATAATATGTTGCATCCTGTATCTATTTTGAGTTTATTATTTTACAGAAACAGTTTACATATTTGAATTTCTATATGATTTAGGAGTAACTACACCAAAGCCGGTATCAAAATGGAGTTAGTTGGCAGGGCCATGTTAGGGCACTCCCAATGCTAGAAACTACTATAGTTTTCATAGCTTTAAGACTCTATCACTAGAAACCATTCTTCCCAATACAAGTTTGTACAAGTAGTTTCCATGAACAAAAAATTTAATGGGCATTTACATGCCCCACAAACAAAGAAGATCATGTGTGACAAGATAACGTGTGTCATAGTATGCTTGGCAACTCACTATTGGAGGAGCACAAATGCTAGAAACACAGATCTTATCGGTGTATAGTATTTTTCTCTTGCATCAAATCGGTAGAACCGCTCGTAAAGTTCAGCTTCGAGTGAATCAGCCGTGCTTGCGGTGCTCTCCTCGACGTGGCTTTGATCACTGCCTGCTTCAGCATCAAATATGGTCCACCAGGTGCTTGTACTTTCGGTACTTTAGTCTTTCCTTCGGATTCAAGAATGCAGAGATCTTCTTTGTCTGCACCGTGGTGACCATGCTAGGTTGGCGGCGCGCGCAGCTCATTCAGCCCTCCACGGTGGCCGCACGCCATTGCTGCTGTTCCGCGGCGGTGCCTCCCTTACTCGAGCGCCCACCGGCGACGCGAGGATTCGTGGCGGCGGGTCGCTCCTGGCTCCAAGCGAACACCTCAACGGCATGGTCCTTGCGCACAAGATCCATGGAAACAAAACCTTTCTCCCCAACGCGGCTGCAAAAAAATTGGCGGCGGCGGCGGCGGTGTTCTCTGTGCCCAAAGAGGCCGCGAGCGCGCGCGGCCCTCTTCCAGGCGATAAGATCCATGGAAACAAAACCTTTCTCCCCAGGCGAGAAAAAATTGCGGCGGCGGGAAAGAGGGCGCGGCCTGCTGATAGGCGAGCGAGCGGCGCGCGAGCGCGCGGGAGGAAGGGAAGGGAAGCCGGCGGCGATGGGAGGAAGGCGCACGGGATCTGACTGCATCGATGGAAACTACCCCCATCTTCCCCAACGCGGATGCAGCGTCGTTTCTATCGCATGGATTCGCTCGTAGACGCTCTTTGTTTAGATAAATTCCGTTTTTTACTCTCTCTCATCACATTTTTTTCTTAAATGTAGGTAAAAAATAACTAATTCTTTAGATAAAATCACTGAGATGAATCTTTTGACCTCAGAAAAACGATTGGACAATAAATACCAAATAAAGGTAATAAATTCATCCATAAAATCTAAACATGGTTTGAGTAATTTTTCTCCATCGCCAGTGCCCTTAACATCTAGTAAGAGCAGTCCAATGGAAGAAACTGATACGGTTTCCATAGTACAAGAAATCATCTATAGAAACCATCTTCTACAGTGGAGGTGTCTTTGTGTAATAATTATTTTCTTTTTCTCTTTCCTAACTCTATCTTCTTCCTCCAATGGGAGTGTGGTACGAGCCCTCTGAAAACGGGTGGTTTCTCTCCAACGGCGATTTTATGGTTTCTTGATGCATTAGGTAAAGAGAAGACCTAATTTCTTTACGAGGAAACCATTTCTAGAATTTTTGCTCTATTTCTTTATTAATTACGTTGCCATATTAATATTTTATCTACGTGGCAAGTCATTTAATAAGGATATAAATTATCGTCAATACACCCTGAGGACTGCCCTAATCTACCGACCACTTGCACTCCCCAAGAAAACCATACATTTTTCCTCCTCTTTCCCGAACAGAATGCTCAATAATTGCACTTTCATAGGCAGACATGGCTTTGCTTTTCTCTCAGTGCACAAACGCGACCGTATGTACAAATCACTACTGACATTTCCAATTGATGCTTGACAACGATTTGGATTACTATACAGATTCACCAAATTTCCCAACAAATCACCACAAATTTGTTAGATAAGATGCATCAATCATTGAGAGGGAAGCTAGCTAGACAGGGCTAATATCGTCATCTAGCGGATCACTGCCGCCGCTGTGGAGCGGCGGCGGCACGGCGGTGGCCCGGCACACAGGGCAGGTCGGGTGCGCCTTGAGCCACTTGCCGATGCACTTGTGGTGGAAGCGGTGGCGGCACCGCGGCAGCGCCCGGAGCGCCTGGTCCTCCCGCATGCCGGCGAGGCAGACGCAGCACTTGTCCTCTGCGCCGCCGGCGCTGCCCCCGCTGCCGTCGTCGTCGTCGCTGAGCCGCAGGAACGACTTGGCGGCCGAGACCGTTGACCCGGTGCCCGGCGAGAGCCAGACGACCATGACGATGAAGTTGGCGAGGCAGAGCGCGTAGGCCACGACGTCGGCCTGGCTCCGCTCGAAGACGACGATGACCAGCGGCACGAAGACCATGAACACCACGGCGAAGCACCGGTTGGCCAGCGTCGACGGCCGCACGCCGTCTTGCGACCCTAGCAGCGGTGTCAGCACGGGCGCGGCGTCCGCGTCCCCCTGCTGCTGCTGCTGCGGCCGCACCGACGGCGACGGGTCGTCTCGGCCCCCAGCATCGTCGCCGGCGCGGCCGGCGATTACGTAGCGGTACCAGCGCGCGAAGCAGTAGAAGAGGAAGACCTGGATCGAGAAGCCGCCGGCGAAGGCGGCGGCGACGTCGCCGTAGTAGTCGTAGGCGAGGCGGGTGGCGAGGAGCAGCGTCAGGAAGGTGAAGGGCAGATCCAGCCACGGGAGGTCCATCGCCGCTGCGCCGCCGGCGAGGCCGCGCTCATCACCCGCAAGCACCGTGCGCGCTCAGCGCGAGGAATCCATGGAAGCAAAAACGGGATGAGGTGGGAGAGATTCCGTGGACTCTCTTCACCGCACCAAATCTCGCCTTTTTCTGCGGGCGGGCAAGTCAAGAAAGTTATTAATTAACAATTCAAGAAAAGATTAATACGAGTGTGTGAATGCTGAATAGTTTGCTTCCACATAAGCAAAAATGATTAGCGCACGTCTCAGACCGGATCACGGACTCAATGGCCAGGGCAAGGAGCAAACCTATATTGCAGCATAGTTAAATCCGCACAACGAAAACTACATTTTTTTCACAGTAGTTGTTGAACTAAACCATTATTAAGTCAACGAACGATCGGTGCGGAGGGCAGCTGCAGGGGAGCTCTCCTTTTTTTATATATCAAAAAAAATATTTACCCAGCTTTATTAGAAAGCTTATAGAAAGCCTTAGGCCTCGTTCGGTTGAATGGGTAACAATTCCGGTCTCTTACTTCCTTCGATAATTTACAAAGCATCCGAACCGTTCCGGCGCAGAATAGCCGTGAATGGTGCTAATTGAACGGGGTCCCTCATGTCTCAGTCAGGGTAATAGCAAAATATCTCGTTATTTCGGTTCAATTAGTTACCGAGGGTCAAGACTAAATGGCCAGTCTAAATTTGGTTCTTAAGAACTAAAGATCGAATTTCTAACTAATTTTTTCTGTTTAGATCTTAGTTAATTCGGTTTGAATCGGTTTCTCGGTTTCAGGTAATTACCGTAATACGGAGTAGTTGTAAACCACAAGGAGAAGTTTACCAGCCAGATAATGACGATTCCGTGCGTCGCTGTCAGCAGGACTGTGGCCCCTCAAGCAACGCGGCCAAGTGGGCTTAAACTGCGGTACTAGCATGTCTCCCGGCCGCTGATTCGCCACCGGTCTCTCTCAGCGAGGTATGTGCAGCGGTGAACGGCGATGGAAGGAAGCGTCCCTTTTTATTCGTCGTCGGCCGAACGGTGGCTCCACTCCCAAGTCCCAACGTATAACATGGATAAGCATGAGCGGTGGCCGTGTGGCCGGTGGAGATGATTGGAGGAAGGTGAAGAGGACGTCCTAAAGGAGCCGAAATCTGGCGACCCAACCAATTGAGGTCCATCGTCGGTCTTTGCTCGCTAGCCCACACAGGAGTTAGGAAAAGGATTTTTCTGTTTATACCAGAAATATATAAGTTTGAGTTTGAATTTGATTCAAATTCAAACTTCATGCCAAAAATGCAGTAAAATTTAATTTGAGGCAAGAAATGAGGGTTAACCCACCATGTCATATATGAATTCAAACAATTCTAAAAAAGAAAATTTTGAGAACTTTTGCAAACCAAACATTGCATGAAGACACGGTGTGTTACAATAACTAACCCGTGTGAATGATGTTTCCTAAATTGAACCATCATAGTTGTCATCTTCAAAATGGCTAAAATATATAGCTCATGTTTAGCAGAGTTGTCACCAATGGACAACATTGCATGCGATTTAGCCCATGTTCCTGATGCAAATGTACAAGAGAGAAATAAAATATAAAAGTAGTCAGTGTGATTTAAAAATAGTTTAGGATTTCTAATGTAAAATTACCTTCTATCTTTTAGGTGCGAGATTTTAGAAATTGTTGGAGTTGGAGCCTTGTTATGTCTCCCAAAATATTTTGCAAAGGTTGAAAAAACTGTTTTTGGGAGTATTTTTTAGATACTGTTGAAGATGTTCTGACATCCCATCCATTTGCCATTTCCTACAAAAACATTAATCTTTTTTCGAAACATAGTACAAACACAGACACTCATATATATATGCATGCACCCTCAACTCTTTGAACGCACGTACACATACTCTATTTGAGCACCCATGTCTAGTCGAGGATTTCAACCTAAATGAGCAGATTCCACTGTAAGAACCCAACCGACTAAGCTAAAAAGTTTATTAATAAAGATCAAGCTATTGCTATGATTTATCTCAAGAACCAAAAGGGCATGATTGAAAAAAGGAAAATATATGAAAATAGTATCTTAGAGTCAACTCTAGCCAAAATTGCATAGAAACTGACTGCCACCGACAATATTATCACATAAAAACTAAGTAACTAAAATCAAATGCATAAGTTAGTCAAACTATGAGGGCAAGTAAACTAGTTTTATCTCATAGATGGTTCAGTGTCACAATCAATAAAGACAAGTTATGAGTTGCATGAGAACATTAATTTGTATAATGGTGAAATAGTTGTCTTGTGGTTCTAATTTTTGCTCATGAGAGGGTTGCTTCATGAAACAACAACCTCTTTGTCTCATCTTCCTCTCTCTCTCTGTAATCAAATATCCTATGTAGCATTGCAGAGATAGCCTTTAAGACTACTAACATGTAGCAATGTACCTATCCTGAGTAAAGGCTCCGCTGCCGCCTAAGGCTCCTTGCAGTTGTTGCCTCGACTCTATCCCTCCTTTCCCAAGAAATCACTTGTTGGTGTTTTGTAAAATGGACTAGTGAATTTATACGAATGCCACGCTGCTCTAGGAAGACGATGGTAGCATCCAAAAGACACGAGGATTTATACTGGTTCAGACCGGAGACCTACGTCCAGTTTCAGAGATGATCGAGTGCGTGTTCCTCGCTTGAATGCTCTAAAGTTCTTACAATGGGGGGGTGCAAGAATGATGGAAGAGGTAGGAGAGCAAGAGCTTGGAGAAGGGCTGCCCGAAGGAAAGCTTCGAGAGCCCGGTGAAGATGAGAATGGTTTGATCCAAATCAGAGAGACCCAAAAGGATGCCCTAGCTACCCTTATATAGAGTCCGGAGCTAGGTTATAAAGAAGGAGGTTCTCGGACCGAAGGGTTATGAGCCTAAGGGAGGAGGCCTACCTAACTTGGCTTGCAAGTAATGCCGTCTTGTGGTATACACCTTAGTGTGGCTATCGTCATGGTCTTGTGCTCATGTCGTGGCATGGCGTGACGTGATGCCATAGTGACCGTCATGACGGTACTGTGGGCACGATGGTGTGTTTCGCTAGCTGTCCTGCGTGACGTGGTCTTGCCGTGGTCTTCGCGCTCTTGATGATCCGGTGTGTTTAGCGTCGATCGCTAGCTGGAGTCCTGCGTGACGTGGTCTTGCCGTGGTCTTCGTCATCACCTCTTGATGATCCGGGGGCACCGTACAAGAGTAGGTAGCAACCCCTAGATCGTCGATTGTCTTACTACGCTGAGATGCGCATGTGCTCAGTGCGGGTTCATAGGCATGGCTTGTTTGAGCTTCGTCGCTCGACCCCTTATGGGTTAGTGTGTTCAAGGCGGTAGGTGGTGGGTTGCTCGGCGGCTATTAATCGTCCTTGACATACCTAGTCCACCGATCCTGATCGATGCGAGTCTTGCATAATGCTCGCGATTGTTCTTGAGCCCTACCATGTCGGTGTGATGTCCGTGCGATCTGGGGAGCCCTCCATGACCTAGGCGGAGGTCCATGAGTGGTCTCATCGTCTCATCGACGCTGTATCGGCTCCACCTTTAGGAGGATCTCGATTTATCCAACCTCACATGGGTATCTGACATTGGCTATGGCCTCCCACGTGTGCCATGTGGCGCGGGGGTCTTGGGCTACTCAGTCCGCCCTTACTCCAATAAATAGGCACCTCCTTACCATTTAAACCACTCGTATCTACTTCCACAAGCCCGCTCTTAGCTCTATTGAAAGGCTAAGTGTGGGAGAGAGAAAAAGAGAATAACTTCGAGAGAGAGAGAGAGAATAGGGGGCTCTAGCATGTGACCTACCGGGGGTCGCCTGAGGTGGCCGGAGGCCGATGCTGCCCTTTCCAACAACTGGTGCTAGAAGGAGATTTGTGAGTAGGGGGTAGGATACGCTATGGGCACCAAGTTCGATCATACGCGACCTCAGGCCTCCTCCCTATCGCCACTTCTTATTTCGGACCTTGTTGGTTTGGATGCCCAAAGCGACCGATGGCTTGGGATGTCTCTGGCTCCCTCCTAAATCCTACGTGTAGGCCGGTGGTGTGTGGTGACCTTGGTGGGAGGTCATCTAACATCTACCCTAGGGCTCTCGTGGAATAGGAGGAGGATGAAGTAGCATTGCCCTGATATGCTACCTGCACTGAGCGAAGCCTGGTCGTAACACGACTGCACTTCGGTAGCCGGCTGGTCTCCCTTTGCTACCATGAGGATAGCGGTGGTTCCCATAGGCGCTAGGTGGTTCCATGTTTCCTCGGAGCGCTTCTTAGAAGTCTCCTACTGCACATGGAGGTCCTCCTAGAGCTGTTGGGATTTTCGTCTCCATCCCCCTGTTTTGGCCATGGGATCATCATGCTTGCAGGGGATTAGCGGGGCAAACCTTGACCTCACCTTCCTGATTTGTAGCATCCATCTCTTGGCCTCTGGAGGTACCACCCCCGAGGTGATACTATACCCTTTGTACTTCTTTTAGTGGTGCCACCACTTTTGTACGCATGGATACTCTCCTTAAGTGTTTGTGGCTTGCCCCATGGAGGTAGTGTTGATGGTAGTTAACAACCATTATAAACTATCAATATAACATGCATAAGGGCATAAATATAATCACCAACGAAGGTTTAGGGGTTTAAACTAACAAATTCCATGAGTTTTGGTGAATCTATATTTTATGTAGGGTTTATCTAGAAAACCATCAAGGTGGACCTACATGTCAGATTTAATCGCGCTTATCCACAATGAAACGGACACTAGAAGACTCTAGAAGACTCAAGAGGACTCCACACCGAGGCGGAGCCCGAGTGGCTGCCAGGTGGGGTCGGCCGGCCCAACCTGCAGGCCGCCCAGCCCCTAGGCCCATCTATCAATCTCTGCATCACAATGTCGGTTCTCCACTACCTCCTAGGTTGCATCTACACTGTCCTTTAAGTCGGTTTGATCCAAGGGCTCACGTTGGATGCTCCGGCCTATATATACCAGCCCCTGCCACCC